AATTGTTCTAACTGTCAGGAAGTTTCTCCTTAGTTCTAAGTTGCTTCTCTCCTTGATGAGTTTCCATCCGTTGCTTCTTGTCCTGCCTTCAGGCGCTTTGGAGAATAGCTTGACTCCCTCTTCTTTGGGGCAGCCCCTGAGATACTGGAAGACTGCTGTCATGTCCCCCCTCGTCCTTCTCTTCATTAGACTAGTCACTAGATATTCCCAATTCCAGCCACCGTTCCTTATATGTTTTAGCTTCCAATCCCCTAATCATCTTTGTTGCTCTTCTCTGTACTTTGCACAGAGTACAGTGCTTTGGATCCCCCCTACAAATACCCCCCCTGCCCAAAATCTGCATCATCAAACCCATGCAGATCTTGGTCCAATCTTGGCCACTGCCCAGACAGGTCCCTACAGTTTTCTCGGCAACCTTTTAAAAAGTGGTTTGCCGTTGCCACTTTCCTCCTAGAGCGGAGGAGAGAGGGACTGGTCTAAAATCAGTCAGCTGGCATTTGTCCCTAAGTCAGAGCTGGAAATTTAGTTCGCTGCTTTTGGTTTAGCACCTTAAGATGTACACAGGCTCTTTGGACAGAAGCCTGGTGGAATGAATAAATAATGTGGGCTATTCTAGCTGAACCATAAGAAAGGCTGAGCGCAAAAGAATTGAGGCCTTTGAACTATGGTGCTGGAGAAGACTCCTGCGAGTCCCTTGGACTGCAAGGTGTTCAAACTGGACAGTCCTAGAAGAGATCAACCCTGACTGCTCTTTAGAAGGCCAGATCCTGAAGTTGAAACTCAAATACTTTGGCCACCTAATGAGAAGGAAGGACTCACTGGAAAAGGGCCTAATGCTGGGAAAGATTGAGGGCAATAGAAGAAGGGGACGACAGAGAATGAGATGGCTGGATGGAGTCACTGAAGCAGTAGGTGAGAACTTAAATGGACTCCGGAAGATGGTAGAGGACAGAAAGACCTGGAGGAACGTTGTCCATGGGGTCGCGATGGGTCGGACACGACTTCGCAATTAACAACAACAACAACATTCTAGCTGAGGAAATTCTGCTTTATAATACAGATCATTATAACTGATTTGTTTCCTTAAAGCGCATCTGCCACTTTGCATCACAATGATTTCTGGTTTGCGTAAAAAAAAATAAAAAAAAAATGGCAGAGCAGGCTCTTGCTTTTTTGATCGTTGTAACTCTGCTGTTCGGGCCAGGGAGTTGAGTGAATTTGAATTTTAGCGTATCTGTATATTGCAGTTATCTCATCTGGAGTGATTTCATAGTGTTTAATCTCCTTCATTCTTTCAATTGGTTGTTTGGATGACAGAAAACTTTTTTTAAAAAAAATATTCTTAATCTTAGCATCTGCAAGGGCTTACTCACACACCGTCTTGTATCTACTATGATGCAATCATATTATCAGAATTTCGGTTAAAGGGTTCCTAACGTACATACATGGGTCTCCAGTGGTCTGCAGGCAGATTGCAGGATGAATAATGCACAAATAAATGCTGCATGTCTCACATGCGATTTCATCACAGCTCCGTTATTATTCACCACCATGCAGTGGTGACACTTAAGGGAACAAACATAATACATTTTTAACAGTAGCTGCATTTTTAATACTCTCTGAAATGTAACTATGAATCCCAGCCTCCATAAACTGTTAAACATTTAAAACTGTTTGCTTGTCTGCTAGGCTGCGAAACGTCCAGAGATGATGCAGTGGTCCACAGTTGCCCAGCATGTCCTTCCCCTAAGTCAGTGTTTCCCAAACTTGACAATTTTAAGGCATGTGGACTTCAACTCCCAGAATTCCACAGCCAGCGTTGCTGGCTGTGGAATTCTGGGAGTTGAAGTCCTCATGCCTTAAAATTGTCAAGTTTGGGAAACACTGCCCTAAGTCAGGGGTGGGGAACCATGGCTCTTTTATGACTTGTGAACTTCAATTCCCAGAATTCCTGAGCCGGCTGGCTCAGGAATTCTGGGAGTTGAAGTCCACAAGTAAAAAAAGGGCCATGGTTCCCCACCCCTGCCCTAAGTGTGTGCCTTGGATTGCAGTTCAGCACTAATAGACTTCTGTTCGCTCATGTCCAATACTCAGGGCTGCTTAGGCGAGTCTCTGCCATTTTCTTGGCAAGATTTTTCAGACGTGGTTTGCCGTTCCCTGCTTTTCAGGGTTGAAAGAAAGTGACTGGCCACACCAGTTAGACTAGCGAACATGTTTAAAAATGTATCGAATACTTGCTGGAAATGTAAACAAAAACCAGGTATTTATTATCATGCCTGGTGGATATGTCCTAATGCAAAGAAATTTTGGTTTAAGATCCACTTATGGCTGGAAAAAATGACTAAAATACAGATAGAATTTAAGCCAGAACTGTTTTTGTTTGTTTATTTATTTATGGGACTTTAAGTGCAAGCACTCTCTAAGCGGTGTACACCAGTAAGCAATGTATGTATGTATGTATGTATGTATGTATGTGTATTATATATATAGATATATATATATATATATATAATATATATATGTGTGGTGTATGTGTATGTGTATGTGTATGTGTGTATGTATATGTATATGTATGTATATGTATGTATATGTGTATATATATATATATATATATATATATATATATATATATATATATATATATATATAATTTTACCTACCCCGGAAGGATGGAAGGCTGAGTCAACCTTGAGCCGGTGAGATTTGAACCGCTGACCTGCTGAACACAGTCAGCTAAAGTGGCCTGCAGTACTGCACTCGAACTGCTGCACCACCTCAGCTCATTGTTAGGAATATTAGGACTTAATTATGGAAAAGAGAATGAATATTTAATATTACATGTATTGACAGCTGCGAGAATAGTATTTGCCCAATTTTGGAACAATGAAAATCTACCACCTGACCAGATTATAATCACGAAAATCTTAGAATGTGCAGAAATGGATAGACTAACTTTAGAGATTAAAGAGAAAGAAGATTCAGTTTATTTCAAAACATGGGAAAAATTTTATCAATGGTTAGCAGTACAATAGAACGAGAAAGGATGGTGAAATTTAACAGGATGAATGATATTTATTAACTAAGCTTTACTTTTATGATTATTGTTATTATTAGTGATTATAACTGTTTAGTATTATATTAATTATTGTCATTTAATATTTGTACCCGGACAATAGTCTGCTTGCTAAAGCGTTGAATTTTTTGTTGGGGGTAACCCCACTATTGTATCTACCCCTTACCCTTATCCCAACCCCATCCCCTAACCCCATCCAATATCCATACCGATCTTATCCCTTCCCTACCCTTATAAAACTCAATAAAACATTTATAAAAAAAGAAGAAGAAAGTGACTGGCCCAGGGTGACCCAGCTTCATCCCTAAGGCAGAACTACTCTTGGTTTCTAGCTTGGTGCCTTGTCTATTTCACCAGACTGGCTGTGTGTGCACGCATGCACACGGGTTTTTTTTTATTATTATTATTATCGATCATCGCACAGTCAGCCAGATGTTCAGACTGGATTTGGCATTTTGTCTACCTATCGAGTCCTTACCCAGGACCTGGGATAGGCAGATGTGGATGTTTGATGGTATTACAGATATCGTCGCAGGATGGAAGCAGTTCCTAGTAAGGCCGCCTTTTGCATTTGACTAATAGCGAATTTGTCAATGCCAATGGTGTTCAAGTGGTGCTCCAGTTGTTTTGGGATTGCACCCAAGGAGCCTATGACTATTGGTACTACCCTTGCTTGCTTTTGCCACAGTCTTTCTATTTCTATTTGTAGGTCTTTGTATTTTGTTCTCTTCTCCAGTTTTTTCTCTTCTCTTCTGCTATCTCCAGGCACTGCCACGGCCACTATCCAGACTTTTTTGTCTTTCTTATCGACAATTGTTAAGTCTGGGGTGTTATGTTTCAGTTGTTGTTGTTGTTGTTGTTGTTGTTGTTGTTATTATTATTATTATTATTATTATTATTATTATTATTATTATGGCTCATCGCACAGTCAGCCAGATGTTCAGACTGGATTTGGCATTTTGTCTACCTATCGAGTCCTTACCCAGGACCTGGGGTAGGCAGATGTGGATATTTGATGGTATTACAGATATTGTCGCAGGATGGAAGCAGTTCCTAGTAAGGCCGCCTTTTGCAATTGACTAATAGCGAATTTGTCAATGCCAATGGTGTTCAAGTGGTGCTCCAGTTGTTGTTGTTGTTGTTGTTGTTGTTATTATTATTATTATTATTATTATTTCTTCTTCTGTTCAAACTAATACTGCCTGGAGAAGTTGCTGCCATTTTCTTGGCAAGGTTTTTGAGACTGCCGTTGCCTTCGTCACCAGGGCTGAGAGAAAGAGATTGGCCCAAGGTCACCCAACTGGCTTCCTGCCTAAAGCAGGACAATTATGGTAATGCAGTTTTGTTCCACAAAAAATTGTCACAAAATCCCACACTTTTTCTCGCTCTGCAGGCCGAAATGGCTAGGCGTCTGGTATTTAACTGGCTAACCTAATGAATAGAATAGAAACTGTGTTGATTTAATCATTTGACCATATCAAAGGGCAACTTAATGATTGACAGTGAAGATTATATTGCTTTGGATATTGGTTTTAAATTTGGGGATTGTGCTGTTCCTGCTGCTGTTTGTTAGATAACTTACTCCAAAGTCACTCTCGTCTTGGGTGCAGATAGTGGACAGGTTGGTTGTTATTTTTAATCCCATGCTTCTGCGTTTATAGTTAATTTTGCCCTGGTTATTTTTAGTTAAAGGGTGTGATGACCAGCTGGGGAGATGAGTCGGGGACATCTGTTGCGGAGCAGATGAGGCCAAACTGCAACTCCGTCACGTCTCTTCCCAACTATTCAGAGGATACATTTACCTCCCTGAGCGAAGAAGAAGAAGAAGAAGAAGAAGAAGAAGAAGAAGAAGAAGAAGAAGAGAAGAAGAAGAAGAAGAAGAAGAAGAAGAAGAAGAAGAAGAAGAAGAAGAAGAAGAAGAAGAAGAAGAAGAAGAAGAAGAAGAAGAAGAGGATGAGAAGCAGTATGAGGACGACTCAGTGGATGAGTTGGAAGAGCCGGCGGCCTCTGATCTGACCGAGGGCGCTTGGCAATCCTCATGTCAAAAGGATGAAGGTCAGTTAGGATCCACAAGGATTTGGTTCAGCTCCTTCTGCAGGCTTACAACTGGGAAGGGGGGGAGGGAGACTTGGGTCAGCAAAAATAGAAAAAAAAGTACAAGGGGAAAAAACTGCCAACGTCATGTGGCACAGCAGATTAAAACTTTTTATTTTTATTTTGCTAACACAGAATGTCACAGCAGTATTAAAGAAACATTAATTATATGTAAGTCACTGCTAATAATAAAATAGATTACGAATTATTAAATAGATTGAATTAATTACACAACTTAAATAAAAATTGTTAATTAAAGATTAAACAGTATTAAAGAAATAAAGAAATATGTGTCGGGCAGCAGAAAGAAATGTCTGTTGTGTGTAGCATTTGGCATGATGGGGGCAGTCAATTGGTAGAGCATCAGAGAGAACTGGTAGGTCTATAAGAGCAGCAAGATCCTGGATGCCCCAAATTAGAATAGAATAGAGCTGGAAGGGACCTTGGAGGTCTTCTAGTCCAGCCCCCCGCTTAAGCAGGAGAACCTATACCATCTCAGACAGGTGAATGTCTAGTCTCTTCTTAAAACTCTCCAGTTTTAATCTCCATCCACGATTTCTGGAGGCAAGCTGTTCCACTGGTTGATTGTCCTCACTGTCAGGAAGTTTCTCCTTAATTCCAGGTTGCTTCTCTCTTTGATCAGTTTCCAACCATTGTTTCTCGTTCTTCCCTCTGGTGCTTTGGTGAACAACCTGGCCCCCTCTGCCCTGTGGCAGTCCCTCAAATACTGGAATACTGCTATCGTGTCCCCCCTATTTCTTCTTTTCTTTAGACTAGCCAAACCCAAGTCCTGCAGCCGTTCTTCGTATGTTTTAGTCTCCAGGCCTTGGATCATCTCAGTTGCTCTTCTTTGATTTTTTTCTAAATTCTCAACATCTTTTTTGTGATATGTGACCAAAATTGGCTGCAGTATTCCAGGTGTGGTCTTACTAGGGCTTTGTAAAGCAGTACATGTAAATTCATGGGTGCTGGTCATTTTTATATGCTTTTGCCTCCAGTCCCCTAATCATCTTTGTTGCTCTTCTCTGTACTCTTTCAAGAGCAGTGATGGCAAAACATTTAGAGACCGAGTGCCCAAAATGTAACCCAAAACCCACTTATACATCGTTGAGTGCCAGGTGGGTGTGGCCCATTGGCTGGATGTGGCCCATTGGGTGGGCGTGGCTGCAGTGGTACCGGCAGACTGGGTGGGACTAAAAAGTTCAATCAATCAATTCCAACTTTGCAAGATCTTTTTTTTCCTGCGAGAAGTTGAAATTGACTGATTGACTGAATCTTTTTTTTTTGTACATGGCGGAGGAGACCTAAAGCGAAAAGGTTTTATAAAACCCAGCTGAAGGCCTAGGACTGGGGTGACGGCACGCGTGCCCACAGAGAGGGCTCTGAGTGCCGCCTCTGGCACCCGTACCATAGGTTCGCCACCACTTGCTTAGGCCATTCTTTAACCAGGACTTGTCAGGCCTGAGCTCTCAAAACCACACAGTGAGATCCACTCGAGTGCAGTTCTTTATTTGCTTACACCCATCAGACAGAATCTTGCCGGACTAAAGCCATAAGCTTCTAATTTAAGAGATACACCAGGAGAGATTCTAGGGTGTGGCTATCCTGAACTTTTTTCTCTCTTCCCATCTAGTTCAGGACTAATGCAGTCTCTTGTCCTGGGCCTCACTCTGGAAAGTGCTGCCTCCTCCCTGGGAGACTGCCGGGCTACTGTTGACGTTCCCCCTCTTCTCCTTCAGCTGCCGGTTCCATCCCAGCACTTTAATAACTACTTGACTAAGACAAGCTGGAAGGTTTTACACAATTTTGTTTCTACATATTCCTGCTTTTAGTTTATCTTGTACAGCTCAACTCTTCCTACTAGACTGCTTGTGAATTAAACAGCTTCACATCTTTTATGGATGTGTGAGACATTTAGATTATACATCATGTATGGAGTTTCGCGTGTATGAATCCATTTGTCATTTGGTTGATCTCCATGTTCCTTCCTTCCTTCCTTCCTTCCTTCCTTCCTTCCTTCCTTCCTTCCTTCCTTCCTTCTCTTCAATCTCCTTCCTTCTCCATCTCCTTCTTTTCTCCTTCAATCTCTCTCCCTTCCTTCCTTCCTTCCTTCCTTCCTTTTCCTCTTCAATCTCCTTCCTTCTCCATCTCCTTCTTTTCTCCTTCAATCTCTCTTTCTCCCTTCCTTCCTTCCTTCCTTCCTTCCTTCCTTCCTTCCTTCCTTCCTTCCTTCCTTCTCCTCTTCAATCTCCTTCCTTCTCCATCTCCTTCTTTTCTCCTTCAATCTCTCTCCCTTCCTTCCTTCCTTCCTTCTTCCTTCCTTCCTTCCTTCCTTCCTTTTCCTCTTCAATCTCCTTCCTTCTCCATCTCTTTCTTTTCTCCTTCAATCTCTCTCCCTTCCTTCCTTCCTTCCTTCCTTCCTTCCTTCCTTCCTTCCTTCCTTCCTTCCTTCCTTTTCCTCTTCAATCTCCTTCCTTCTCCATCTCCTTTTCTCCTTCAATCTCTTTTTCTTCCTTCCTTCCTTCCTTCCTTCCTTCCTTCCTTCCTTCCTTCCTTCCTTCCTTCCTTCCTTCCTTCCTTCCTTCCCTCCTCCCTCCCTCCTTCCCTCCTTCCTCCCTCCCTCCCTTCCCTCCCTCCCTGTTAGAATTTTTAGATGCTGGATTCATAGGAGAGTCTTTAACTAGAAAATGGATCAGTCTTCTGAAAGGCAACAGAACTATCACCGAGAGAGCCAAACCTTCCGTGGGTTCATTTAACAACTATGGCATTAGCTTAATGACTGTGGTGCTTGTTTAATGGCAGCTTTGTTCACTAATGATTGCTACAAGAAAGGTCCTAGAATCAAGTATGATCACGTGGTGACCTACTTAATGACCATCCCTAATTATGACTGAAACTGTGGGCTCAACTACAGTCTTAAGTGAAGAATGTCCTGTACTGTGTTTGGGAGTGTAGGATGGATCAGTAGATGTTTTCATGGCTGCAGAGATGGATATTGCAACAAATGTTGAGGATAGCATTGTTTCCTTGCAGAGGAAAAATTAGTAGTTTAATATTAAAATTTATGAGTTAAGAGATTCTACAGCACATAACTAATTGAATTAGTTGATGAAACATTATTTTCAAAGTGTCCATATCCTAGAATGACAATTCCCTGCAATTGTTCACATTTTCCTGGTAATTTCCATTTTTCTGCTTATACCTTAAAATCTGCTTCTTTTCATTTTTCATTTTCTTAAATTGTATACAAAAGATGTCTGATCACTTTTAACTTTTGTTACCAACATGAGACAAGCCCAGGACTTTCTGAAATATATTAATCTGTGTTTAATTTTTCAATATTTGCCTGAACCCTAACCTATTGGCTGGAATTTGTATCATGTGGGAGAAACTGCACAGTTGGACAAAGTACCAGTTGTTTTTTGAATCATGAAATACTATCTTTGCAGTTAGCAATCTCTGTTAACTATTCTGCCAGTCTGGCATGTAAAAAAGGTGATTATGTCTTCTTGAATACTGAGCTACATAATCTAACAAAACTAGAATTCCACATATGGAATCTCTTAACTCATAAAAACATGTCACCAGAGTTTGTCAACGGAATCACAATATCAGCAAATGAATGAACTAGATTGCTTATATATTATTTGATATTCTTTTCTTCATTCATTATAATGCCTGGAGCAACATATAAATTCCTTTATGCCCAAATGCAGTAAGAATCTACTGAGTTAGCCATTCACAGCAGCTAGTCTTACAATTCCTATATTTCTATAGGCTGACTATTTGCTGTTGGTCATGTAGCAGGAAAGGGATCTGAAAGGAAGGTCTTCTTGAGTCTCACTTAGCATTCTGTACATTACAGTCTTTATATACATGTTGGTGAGAAAATAATGGACACATCTTTAAGGCATATCAGAAACAAAAAAAAAAATAAAGATACGAGAAACCTGTCAAAGCTAAATGCAATTATGGAAGCCAGAAGTCATTTCCTTCAGAGTGTGCTTTTTTTTTTTTTGCCTACCTGTGGTCATTCTGTTTTTCTGTTTTGGTAAGGGAGTGTCTCTGAAATGATGATCCAACCAGGCGCAGATTTTCTAGTATTTGAACAAAATGCCATGGCTTAGCATTAGCACTGTTGGTGTTACTAGAAAACAAAAATTGCTAGCTGCATTTGGAATAGGTCCAGTTGCCCGGAACAACCTCCAAAGATAAGCTTGGGAAGACCTGATAGCTTATGGAGGAGGCAGAAAACAGTTCCTTAGTTTGGACATTTGGGGGCCTGGCTGAGGAATTCTGGGAGTTGAAGTCCACAAGTCGTAAAAAGGCCAAGTTGGAAGACCCCTGCCCTAAAAGGTAATTCAGCCCTGACATGACAAGAATGGGAGCTCAGCAATTAATGCAAAATATAATGACTAGGTTATTAATTGGAAGTGTAACACCACTGTCAGACCCAGTGTAAAAGTACCTTGGCTGAGCTGGCGACGACGCTGCGGAGAAGGCTCGGTGATGCGGCGAGGCGGATGGGCGGCGCTAGAAATGCCGACGCTCAGCTGATGACGTCTCGCCTGCGGCGCGCGTCTAAAGACGGATTTGGGCTGCCGTGCATTAGAGGAACACCTGTGATAGGCTGCCGACGCCCAGTTACTGATATTCTACATGCAACGCGCGTCTAAAGAAGATTGAGCCGAATTGACTGCTTAACCGCTTGAATTGAATTAACCGGGATACTGGGTCTGACAGACATGAGGGTGTGGCGAGGGTGGAGTGGTGACTGGTAATTGGGGCGTACACTGTGGGTGTGGTGGCGGGGCTTATTTAATACGTCGGGGTGGGAGGTTTCCCAGGGCTGACTTTCTCTTCAACTGAGCAACATAATAAAGTCTGACTCTTTGTTGAATCCTGCATCGTTCCTAATTCTTGGGATCAGTTGCCTGTAGTTAGGACGAGCTTACATTAAG